GCCATGACTCAACTTCCACATAGTAGGGATGCGGTAACTTCTTTAATCACCTTGGAACATACAGTAGGACTGTGGTATCCATGTGGGATTGGTTTCAAGCCCCTCTATGGATGCCAAAGAACATGGATGTATTGAAAGATGTACACTGCACGGTCTCTGCCTCGTGGCCGGTTCTGATAAATACACATAAATATATGTGTATTTGGAAAAACATATAAATATATATTTTGGTGGCGGGGGTGTTGTTTAGTAGTTTCAGGCAACAGATAAGTGACTCAGCAAATACTGATCCTGCAGATGGAGGGCTGGTGGTCCTTGATGTATCTTGAGGGTATCTCTTAACTGTGTTAAAGAGTTCATGAGTGGGTTGCAAAGTTGTGCTATGGATCTTTTTCACTCCTTCTTCACTTTCCCTGGCATCTCAGAAGTTGAATTCCTTCTGCTTTTCCATCACCAGCCTTAATCAGAAATATTGCATCAGTATAACCGTAAACACTGCTAAGCAAGATTTCCCATTAATCTGGATGAAAACCAAGTATTGTATTCAAGGAATCATCAGTATTATACATACACCATCCAGTTGATAGTTTTCTGCGTTGTGCATATGTCATCTCTGAATTGGCTTTATAAAAAGTGAAATAATTTGAATTCCATCTGTTTTCAGCTTTGCAGCTCAATTTTGCTTCCTACATATATTTGTATTTACTTACCATCTGTACATGGTTACTCACATGCAGTGTTGTATTCATTTTATTGCTGTGATGATAGTGGTGTAGATTATGATGGTGATATTTTAATGATTTTTATTTTAATTATCTTTTAATTTTATTTACAACTTGCATTTCTCCCATTGAAGGACTGAAGTTAAAAGAATTAATAGAGATAGTCCCGAACTTTACTGTTCATTTTTTAAACTTATTTTATTCTTTTTTAATGCTTCTAAGGGTGTGACTAGAATTTGCTGCAATTTGATTCGCAATCTGTTTGAAGTCACAGTCAGTTCTCACACAGGGGCTGTGGATTGATTTGAGAGTTCACTGTTCATATTGGATGTGATGCAATTTGCATTCCAGCCCACAGCCCTCCTTCTTCCTTCCTTCTTCTGGTCCCACCTCTGCCAATCCTTTTACAGGGTGGAAATATAGTTAATAATAATATTGATGACCGAGTGATAAGGTGATTGGATGATCTAGCACTTAATTTCTTTTTTTAAAAAATCAGAGAATTGGGAGAGAAGAAAGAATGCAGGGAGTGTTCCCCTAGTCCTGAATATCATTCCTCAACTGCCTATGTCATTGAAATACCACCTACAAATACTCCCCCATCTTTATAAGAACATATCACAAACACATAAGAAAAAGCTTATTTGAATCGTTACAGCTTGAAAAAGAAGAAGAAAAGCTGCTTTGGGAACCTAAAGGGCTGGGCTGAATCAAATCAGCCTTTGCAACATGTGGTCAGTTAAAAATACTTCAAATTCACTTGTTTTGTAAGTGGAGCAAATATTGCAATGTTTGACCATGTAGTTTCAGCTTAAGCTGTGTTCAGCACAATTTCTTAGTAAAGAGGTGGGATAAATAGCAATAAATGAATTAATACACTAATAATAGCAATAACAATTTTGTTTTAAAGGAAAAACAAAGCCGTGTAATCCTTTATTTTTAACTATAGCTTTACTGGCGTTCCATTTTACATTTTAAGACTATTTTACACCTTCATCTTAATTCAGATATTTCACTCTAAATAACCACCTTGCATAAAATCTTCTCAAGTTTCATCATCCTGTAGACTGTGGAGGGTTAGGTAGGTCAGTATGTGAACATTTCCAATAAAAACTTATCAGCAAAAGTTCGCTTTCACTGTGCTTCTCTAAATTACAGTAGACTGGGGCTGTGATTTGAGAGAGGTTATTTATTGTTGCTTCCTTTTAGTGCTGTAGTTCTCTTGCTGATTGGTTGCCAAAATATGCTGTGAAAGTTCTTTTATCTGATGCCTGAAAAACATAGGAAGTTTAGAAAGTTAATATTTCCTTTTCCCATAAAAATAATCATTTTTAGGATGTAATTTAGCTTGTTCAGTTGCAGTCAGTTTTGTTCCTTGTTCTCATGCACATGCAGCACTACTATGGGGTATTTCCTGGTGTTGTTTTGTAAAAAGAAGTGTTTGGGGACTGTAATGAAATGTTTGGCGTATGAGTATAATTAGATGCAGCAACGTAAGGGAACCAAAGTTAAGTACTCTAAATTCCATTCATTTAAATGGGAGATGTATTCACTTTCCCATTAAAGCTGTCCTGTTTAAATGCATAGGACTCCACTAGCTGGATTTTGTCCCTTTTTTTATTTTGTGTGTGTGTGAGAGAGGGGGTGGGTGGGAGACTGGTCGAATAGGGGAGAGAGAAACAGATTTTGTTTACTGCGTTAGCTACAGGATATGAAGAAAACTTAGTTACCTGTATGAAGGTGCTGTAGAATACAGGGATATTTTTTTTTAAAAAAATTGTTAATGTTAATATTTGTGTTTAATTTGGTTGCTCCATAAGCCAGATGGTTGAAAACTCTGCCTAGAACATTTTTGAAAATTCATCCTCTGTCTTTGAATAACAATGTTATTCAACTGCAATTCCAGTTCTGTACCAGTTTACTGAATGAGGGACTTAGTTTTCAAAGGCACTGTTCCACTGACCCAGAAAATGAACATCTCCTGATGTTAGGTTGCCTTGTGTTGGCTGGATTTTAAAATATTCTAATCCAAAAACAATCCATTCACGAGGGTGTGGGGAGAGAAATACGATGGAAACAGAGAGAGATATTGGTTTTATAAATACTATGAAAGGTGCAAAACACTTAGAGCCTGAAAATAGTTTCTCCATGTTGGCAGAGATTTCATAGACTTGATATCTAATGTTAGTTATGTTTTCATTTTTTTTAATTGTTAAAAATGTGACATTTTATAGCTTCTCTTCCCAAAGAAGCCAAACAACGTGCGCACCTGTTACGAACTCTTGCATGATTATAGTGGGCAAAAAAGGTTCCTGGCAAAGAGCTGAACCACATGTTCAGAGATACCATGTGCTACAGCTCTTTCTTTGTGCAGATTGCATATGAAGTACAGTGGGGTCTTGACTTGAGAACTTAATCCGTATTGGAAGGCGGTTCTCAAGTCAAAAAGTCTGTAAGTCAAGTCTCTATTGACCTACAGTGCATTGAAAACCAATTAATCCTGTAACAGGCCGTTTTTGTTCCATTTTGGTTTTTTTCTGGTCTGTAAGTCAAATCTCAGTCTGCAAGTCAAACCTAAATTTTGCGGCTGGAGAAGTCTGTAACTCAAAAAGTCTGTAAGTCAAGCCGTCTGTAAGTCAAGGGTCCAATGTATGGAGAGCAGCCAACTTAAACATATGAATGGTCTCCCACCGTGGCCCATGCTAATTTTTCCCCATAGGATATTTTGAAATAGAGAACTTTCTGACATGCAATCCACAACCTGCATCCAGGGAGAGGACTGCACCATGAGTTGCCTCTGAATGTCTGGTTCAACATACAGCGTTGTATTATCGTTCTGTTTCTTGCTATCAGTGCAGTAAGAGAAACAGTGTTGATGGAGGATTTGGTTTCCCCATTGAAGTGTCTTCTGGGGTGGCTCTCTTCTTTGTGGGAACACAGGGAGGTGTACTCTGACCTGTGTCTCCTGGCATATCATTCATTAAACTTGGGACACTTTTATATAAAACTGTGGTCATAATCTCAATTTGGACTGCTGCCCTCTGTGGTCATAATCTCAAACTGGATTACTGCCCAAATTGGATTTTTAATGTATTTTTAGTTTTGGTTGTATTTATTATTTTAATATGATATTTGTTTAATTCTTTTTAAAATATTTGTATATTTAATGTTTTTAGCTTTTAAACATTGTCCTTTTAATGTTGCAAGCCACCTTGGGTGCTTTTAGGAAGAAAGGTGGGATAAAAATATTTTACATACATACATACATACATACA